GAGCAGGGGGTTGGACTAGAATGGCCTGTGTGGCCCCTCCCAACTCCGTGATTCTGTCCTGTCTTTAACTGTCCTGGCCTAGTTTTATTGGCTTTTTGGTCTTATTGCAGACGGTGGCCCCTGTATGTTTCATGTAATGTCCAGGTGGAGCCTGAAGATTGTCCCACTATTACAGCTGATCTCCAGAGATCAGTTCCCCTGGAGAAAATGGCTGCTTCGGAGGGTGGTCTCTCTGGCACCGAGGTCCCTCCCCTTCCCAAACCACCCCCCCCAGACTTCGCCCCCAAAACCTCCAGGTATTTTTCACCCCAGAACTGGCAACCCTGGTCCTAGAGGAGAATGGCTCCACTATTCGATCTTCACTGACCTTTAGGACCGTGAAGGTTTTATGTGAAGAGCAAAGATCCCCTCCTTCTTTCAGGGTCCGGTGACCTTCGAGGACGTGGCCGTGTACTTCTCAGAGGAAGAATGGGCTCTGCTGGATCCGGCCCAAAGGCACCTATACAGCGAAGTCATGGAGGAGAATTACAGGAATCTGGCCTCTCTGGGTAATAATTGTTATTGATTGGTTAGAATATTTGCTTCTGACCTTTCCTCCTCCTCGCTTAAGGCAGCTCAGTTTGGAAACGTTAAAAAGCCCGCTTCCGAGCTTCCCGTGCCGTAGGCCCCCTCCCCGTCCTTTTGCAGTGGGGTTCCCTCGCGAGAAGACGGGGCCCTTCTTTTTCCTTAAAAAAAAAAAAAAGGATATCGATTTGGCATATTTGTGGGAATTTCTACTAGCCTCATGGCAAATAAATCCAAATTCAGGTGGGTAGCCATGTTGGTCTGAAGCAGCAGAACAAAGTTTCAGTATAGTGCAGTGATGGCGAACCTTTTAGAGACCGAGTGCCCAAACTGCGAGCCAAAACCCACTTATTTATCGCAAAGTGCCAACACTCCAATTTAACCTGAATACTGAGGTTTTACTTTAGAAAAAACAACTCATACATTTACTTAAGAGGATCCAAACAAAGTAAGGAAAGCAATCCCAAATGCTTTCATTTACTTAAAAATATTTGGCAGAGAATTCGACACTTTAATGATGGTCTGGGCCTGGCTGGGGCGATGGCACACGTGCCCACAGAGAGGGCTCTGAGTGCCACCTCTGGCACCCGTGCCATAGGTTCGCCACCACTGGTACAGTGGAACCTTGTAAGTCCAACAAAGTGTCATTCAAGGCATACGCTTTCGTGTGCAAGCACACGCTCGTAACATCCAAATTGAGAGAGATCTGGAAACAGCTGCATTCCCTGTTAACATTTGTGTGCAATACATGTTGGGACAAACACATCACGACTGAGGTATCTATTTTCAAATAAACAGCCCTAACTTTGGGTGGCCAGATCTGGATGTCCCAGGCTAGTTCAATCTCGCCACGATCAGCCCTGGTTAGTACTTGGATGGGAGACCACCAAGGAATACCAGGGTGGTGACATGCAGGCAGGCAATGGTCAACCACCTCTGAATGTCTCTTGCCTTGAAAACCCCACTAGGGGTCGCCATAAGTCATCGATCATAATGCACTGGACTGGATGGGCCACTGGCCTGATCCAACATGGCTTCTCTTATGTTTTTGTAACACAGGGAAGATAAGAAATATGAACATAAGAGAAGCCAATGTTGGATCAGGCCAAAGGTCCATCCAGTCCAACACTCTGTCACACAGTGGCCAAAAATACCAGGTGCCATCAGGAGGTCTAGCAGTGGGGCCAGGACACTAGGAGCCCTCCCACTGTTCTCCCCCCCCCCAAGCACAAAGAAGACAGAGCATCACTTGCCCGAGACCGAGAGTTCGTATCTATCCCTTGTGGATAATAGTTGCGGATGGACCTCTGCTCCAAAGGCCTGTAGCTACAGTGGGGCATTTCGGGGCCTGCCCCCCACTTCCTGCCAAGGCCCCCTGGCCTAGATGGGCCATTGGCCCGATCCAACATTGGCTTCTCTTATGTTCTTATATCTTTATGCATTCATCCATTTGCTTCTTCCAGGTGGGAGGGAAGAGCAAATATCGGGAACCATTCAGTTTTCCTTGTTTTCATTTTCTTTATTAATATCTGCACCATAATTTCTGTAGCCTGTCTTCTCTCTAGCACTGTTGATTGATTGATTGATGTGTATTTATTAAAACATTCATATCCCGTCTTTCCTCATGGCTCAAAGCAGCGTACAATAATAGTTAAAAACATTTTCAGTTTTAAAACAGAGAAAAAATAACAAAGACCAAATCCCCTCCCCCCCTTAAAAGATGCCTGCCATTCGAACCCCCTCAAAAGCCCTGGCAAAGAGGCCGGCCTTGCAGCGCCTCCAAAGAGGTGCCCCCCCCCTCTTTTGTAAGCTGCTCTGAGTCCCCTTTGGGTAGTGAAGAGCGGGGTATAAATCCAATCTCTTCTTCTTCTTTTACCTCACAGGGTGCCTGTAGTAGGGAGGGGAAGGAGTTTGTAAGCCGCTCTAAGACCCCTTTGGGTAGTGAAGGGCGGGGTATAAGTCCAATCAGTCAGCCTCTGAATCCCAGAGCCAGGAGGAAACATGGGAAGGCCTCAGCCTCAATGCCCTGTTGTTGGCTGTCCAGAGGAACTGGTTGGCCACTGTGTGAGACAGGAGGTTGGACTAGATGGACCAATGGGCTGATCCAGCAGCGCTCTTCTTATGTTCTTATGGGGATGGGGCTTACTGCTCTCTCCCACCTGGGATATGGGGCAGCTACAGAACATCTTTTTGCTGTTTGCCATCCTGGGACTAATGAAAGAAGGGAAGTTGGGCTTGGAATGAAGGTTCCTTCTTTTCAACCAAGATAGACAGGTTTCTGTTAAGAAGCTATCATGGGACAGCTGCAGAACATCTTTTTGCTGTGTGCCATCCTGGGACTAAAGAAAGAAGGGAAGTTGGGCTTTGAATGAAGGTTCCTTCTTTTCAACCAAGATAGACAGGTTTCTGTTAAGAAGCTATCCATTGTAGGGGGTCCTCTAGTGCTCCTTCTATGGGTCCTTGTCTATCCCCAGAAAGACATCACTTACAGATCTCAGTGTGGCTCTCTGGCCAAAATTGTCTTGCTCTAATAGTTTTCTAGCCTCTGAATCGTTATGTAAGATGTTGTCTCCAAGATCTGGGAGTCTCGTCTCCCACACAGGATAAACGTTCAGTTGGACCTGGTGGGAAAAAGAGTTTGCATTTTCCTTCCTGCTGTTGCTGCTAAAAAGGATGGAATTTCATGTCATGTCCAACTTCCCTTTGGTACCTAAAATGTCAGCCAAATAACTTCTGTCACAGCAGCCCTGATTATACAACAGTAACACAGCAATGCTAAGAATGTAAGAAAAGCCACGTTGCATCAGGCCACTGGCCCATCCAGTCCAACACTCTGTGTCACACAGTGGCAAAAACCCAGGGGCCATCAGGAGGTCCACCAGTGGGGCCAGAACTCCAGAACCCCTCCCACTCTTCCCCCCAAGCACCAACAATACAGAGCATCACTGGCCCAGACATAAGAACGTAAGAGAAGCCATGTTGGAGCAGGCTATTGGCACATCCCATCCAACACTTTGTTTCAGAGAGTAGCCAAAACTGAGGTGTCATCAGGAGGTCCACCAGTGGGGGCAGAACTCCAGAAGCCTTCCCACTGTTGTCCCCCAAGCACCAAGAATACAGCGCATCACTGCCCCAGACATAGATAGATAGATAGATAGATAGATAGATAGAACATAAGAGAAGTCATGTTGGATCAGGCCAATGGCCCATCCTGTCCAACACTCTGTGTCACACAGTGACCAAAGCCCAGGGGCCATCAGGAAGTCCACCAGTGGGAGCAGAACTCCAGAATAACTCCCACTGTTGGCTCCCAAGCACTAAGAATACAGAGCATCACTGCCCCAGACATAGATAGATAGATAAAACATAAGAGAAGTCATGTTGGATCAGGCCAGTGGCCCATCCTGTCCAACACTCTGTGTCACACAGTGACCAAAGCCCAGGGGCCATCAGAAGACCTCCCACTGTTGGCCCACTCAGCACCAAGAATACAGAGCATCAGTGGCTCAGTGTTCCATCTGTACCTTATGGCTAGTAGCCACTGATGGATCTCTGCTCCATATACTTATGGAGCAGTTTGAGAGCCAGTTTGGTGTAGTGGTTAAGTGTGCGGACTTTAATCTGGGCGAACCGGGTTTGATTCCCCACGCCTCCACTTGCACCTGCTGATGTGACCTTGGGTCAGTTACAAGCTCTGGCACAGCTGTCCTTGAAAAAGAGCAGTTTGTGTCAGAGCTCTCTCAGCCCCACCCACCTCACAGGGTGCCTGTTGTGTGGAGGGGAAGGGAAAGGAGTTTGTAAGCCGCTCTGAGACTCCAAGTGAAGGGCGGGGTATATCCTCCTCCTCCTCCTCCTCTTCTTCTTCTTCTTATCCAGTCACCTCTTGAAGCTGTCTATGCTTGTAGCCACCACCAGTTCCTGTGACACTTTCCTGTGAATAATAGACCCGAGTAGGATTCTGAGTAGACGTGCTTAGGACTCTTCTCTAAGATACGAATCTGATTTGTATTAACCTTCCAGGTTTTACTTATCCAACCTTAGTATATAAGCTCTTCAAACAGAAGACTTTAATAAACTCTGAATGGCCAGGAGGTGGAATAGCTGGAGCAATAACCTTTATTTTACATGACTTTCTGTATGGAAAGCTGAAAGATGTGTGCCTTTCTTTATAGTTTTTTTCATTCTCTTTTTCAAAACGGGGATTAAGTGTGATTGTTCACTGATACCTCCCTTATTTGAATATTCTGTTTGTTCCTCTAGAGAGAGAGAGCAAGAGAGAAGAAGAACAGACAAGGGAAACTGAATTAAATTACAAGTGGGGGGAAGAGTTCATTGCTTCTGCAGGAGAGAGCTTCAGAAAAAATAACCACCTTATCGAACACCAAGGAATTCACATTGATGAAAAACCTTATAAATGCACACAGTGTGGAAAGAGCATCATTTGGAAGGAGTACCTCAGTTTCCATCAAAGAAACCACATAGAGAAACCATGTACATATGCAGAGTGTGGATGTGGAATCAATTTCATATTTAGCGGACCGCCTGCTTCTCACCAAACAATCGACATAGGAGAGGAACCATGTAAATGTTCAGAGTGTGGGAAAAGGTTCAGCTGTAGCTCAAGTCTTACTTCCCATCACAGAATCCACACAGGGGAGAAACCATATAAATGCTTAGATTGTGGAAAGGGCTTCACTCAAAATGGCCACCTTACTATCCATCAGAGAATCCACACTGGGGAGAAACCATATAAATGCTTAGAGTGTGGAAAGTGCTTCAGTCGGAAAGAGAACATTACTATCCATCAAAGAATCCACAAAGGGGAGAAACCATATAACTGCTTACAGTGTGGAAAGAGCTTCAGTAAGAAGTCTCACCTTACCAACCATCAAAATACCCATGCAGACGAGAAACCATATAAATGCTTAGAGTGTGGGAAGAGGTTCAGTCAGAATGGCCACCTTACTATCCATCGAAGAATCCACACGGGGGAGAAACCATATAAATGCTTAGTGTGTGGGAAGAGGTTCCGTCGGAAGGAGTATGTTACTGTACATCAAAGAATTCACAAAGGGGAAAAACCCTATAAATGCTTAGAATGTGGAAAGAGCTTCACTAAGAAGTCTCACCTAACCGACCATCAAAACACCCACACAGGGGAGAAACCATATAAATGCTTAGAGTGTGGAAAGAGCTTCAGTAAGAAGTCCTACTTTACTGACCACCAAAACAGCCACAAAGGGGACAAACCATATAAATGTTTGGAGTGTGGCAAGAGCTTTATTAAGAAGTCCCGTCTTAATTACCATCAACATACCCACACAGGGGAGAAACCGTATCATTGTTTGGAATGTGGGAAGAGCTTCAGTCAGAAGGCGAACCTTAATACCCATCAAAGAACCCACACAGGGGAGAAACCATATAAATGCCAAGAGTGTGGAAAGACCTTCAGTCAGAAGGGCCACCTGAGTGACCATCAAAATACCCACACAGGGGAGAAACCATATAAATGCTTAGGGTGCGGAAAGAGCTTCAGTAAAAAGTCCCATCTTACTGACCATCAAAATACCCACACAGGGGAGAAACCATATAATTGCCCAGAGTGTCCAAAGAGCTTCTGCCATAAGGCCAGCCTTACTACTCATTTAAGATTTCACAAAAGGGATAAACCATGTACATGCTTACAGTGTGGAAAGAGTTTCATTAACAAGCCCAACTTTACTAACCATTCAAGTACCCATACAGTGGAGAAACCATATAAATGCTTAGAGTGTGGAAAGAGCTTCAGGAAGAAGTCCCAACTTACTAATCATTTTAGAATCCACACAGGGGAGAAACCATATAAATGCTTAGGGTGTGGAAAGAGCTTCAATCAGCAGAGCAACCTTACTACACACCAAAGAATCCACACAGGGGAGAAACCATATAAATGTTCAGAGTGTGAAAAGAGCTTCAGTCGGAGCTCGAGCCTTAGTTCCCATCAAAGAATCCATGCAGAGGAGAAACTTTATAATTGCTCAGAGTGTAGATAGAGCTTCAGGCATATCTCATGGCTTTCTTTGCTTTAAAGAATCCACATGGGACAAACCTGCCAAGAAAGCCAGCAAAGCAGACCTCAGAGGTAAAACCGTCCCCTGAAGGAGAGGATGGTTCCTGTGGCAGTTAATGAAGCTGTGTTGTGCCTCCATTTAAAGAACACTTCCCTTGATGCCTGTGATATTTAGGCTGTTCTGTTCTTCGAAATGTGATTGCCTTTGACCTCTCCTCTTCAGGTTTTCTGAAGCATTACAGACTTTAGACCAGGGGTGGCCAATCTACATGCAGCTTTTTCACACATATTATGCGGCTCCTGGCAGGGCAGCTGGGGAAGCAAAGGGGAGGTCTTCCCTTCTGCAGTCATTGTTCCCCTCCCTGGGTAGGCTTGGGTGGAGCAGAGAAAGAAAGCAACTTTAACTTTAAATGCATTCTCAAAGCCAGCCAGCCCCCCCCCCCAAAAACCCACCCCCCCCCCCCCCCCCCCGGCAGTCCAGTTTGGGAGAAGGCATTTGTCTCTTTAAATCCCTTTGCCAAGCCAACCAGCGGGGGGTGGGGGGACTTGGAGGATGCATTTTAAATTATATCTGTTTTAACCCCTTTTGTTTTTATTTTTGGCAGTCTCATTTAATGTTAATAAAAAGCAATTTTGCATATTTTCAAAAAACAACAACAACTGTTTGTGATATTTGTTCATGTCTTGCAGCTCTCAAACATCTGACGTTTATTCTGTGTGGCTCTTACGTTAAGCAAGTTTGGCCACCCCTGATTTAGAGCTTTCTCAGAGCAGTTTACAAACTGGTTATGTCATGGAAACTGTCCTGGTTGCCTGAGTACTCAAAGCCTTTGTTGCTCAAACTGTCACCTGTTCATGATTTTAGTCATTTGTATGCGTGTTAATAGTTTCCTCCCGATGTAAGGTTCAACTATTGGTTAGGCACTGGACCAGAAATTCAGGTCTTCCACTTAGCAAGACAGCATAGCTGACAAAATAGCAGACTGATTATTCTTTAACCATGTTCTAATTTTAGGCACATAACCTTGATTCGATTCAGGTTGGTAGCTGTTTTGGTCTGACTCAAACCTTGATTTGGGTGTTTTAATGGGAGTTAAGAGTTTACCTTATATTGTTCATTTGAATTAATTAGCTTTAGGTTCTAAATTAATTTATTTTAGAGGACAATCCAATCTGGTAGTAAAATCACCTTCTCTATCGTAGCTGACAAAATAGCAGACTGATTACTCTTTAACCATGAACAGTTCTAATTTTAGGCACATAACCTTGATTCGATTCAGGTTGGTAGCTGTTTTGGTCTGACTCAACCCTTGCTTTGGGTGTTTTAATGGGAGTTAAGAGTTTACCTTATATTGTTCATTTGAATTAATTAGCTTTAGGTTCTAAATTAATTTATTTTAGAGGACAATCCAATCTGGTAGTAAAATCACCTTCTCTATCAAAAGTGCCGTGAAGAGTTTTGGCTGGTGACTTCCAGTCAGGGCAGACCTTACATTTGGTGAGCCTATCTTGTGTGATGGGTTTCCTATTTTATATTGTATTCTTCCTGTCACCTTAAAACCTGATTTGCCATAATTGTAATCATTATGTATTTAGCTCAAGTCTAAGAAATGATAAAAAAATTATTAGCACTCGTTATTCTTAGAGCTTGTTGCATGATTAGTTATTTGTTAAGTTCTTGCCCAATAAAAAGAGTTATGCTTTATTTTAAATAAAACCATTATCTCAAAGTTGTGTGTTTGTTCTTGCTGGCAAAAGATCTGATATCTGACTTGTAATGTATCATACTGCTGTGAAAGGTAAGTCTCTCAGGGAGTTGGTCTTAAGAGAAGAAGAAGGAGAAGAGATTGGATTTATACCTCGCCCTTCACTCAGAGTGGCCTACAAACTCCTTTCCCTTCTCCTCCCCACAACCGACACCCTATGAGGTAGGTGGGCCTGAGAGAGCTCTTTCAAGAACTGTCCTTTCAAAGACAGCTTTGACAGAACTATGGCTTGCCCAAGGTCATCCAGCAGCTGCAAGTGGAGGAGTGGGGAATCAAACCCGATTTTCTCCGATTAGAATCTGCGCACTTAACCACTACACCAAACTGGCTCTCCAACAGACCTAATTGGAGTGTTCACTGCAGCATTCAATTAATGAGGCTTTAACTCTCCAAGATCTGAATTCAATGTAGATCTTTAGTTCGGGTGCAGCCAAAATAATTCATCACAAAGGGAGGGTCTCATTCCTTATAAATTGCCTTCGACATCTCTCAGCAACTTTTGATGCCACCGAACCTGATATCCCCCTTCTGCTGTCTAGCTGGCTCAAAATGGCGCGGTTCAAATTTCTAGCAGTTCCACTTGTTCTTGGAAGAAAGGAACAGTGATTCTAGAAGTATGTTCTTCCCTTGGCCTTCAGGGTTTAATTTTGACTCGTATGCTGGGTAAAATGTTCATGGAACTCTTGCATGAAGTTGCCAAGATATGTGGGGTGTAAGTGCATTGCTACATGACTGGAACGCATCTCTCTCCTTTTGAACTGATTCAACATAGGTCTTGGGTTGGTTAAGCTGTTGCCTCCGGTCACGATTTGTTTGGATGAGGCTGAAGACGGTGTTGCTTAGTCCAAACAAGATAGAGGTGGCCGTTCATGCTTATAGCCACCACCACGGCTTCAAAAGGGAATTAGATAAGCAAATGGAGCAGAGGTCCATCAGTGGCTATTAGCCACAAGGTATAGATAGGGAAGGCTATCTTGGAGGTCCTGGCCTTGAGTTTCCTGCCCAGCAGCCTAAATTTCTCCTCCAGGACCTCACGACTGCATTTCCCCACATCGTTGGTGCCGACATGCACCACAACCACTGGCTCCTCCCCAGCACTATCTACCAGCCTATCTAAAACACGCGTAATGTCTGCTACCTTCGCACCAGGCAGGCGTCACCATACGGTCATTTCGCGGGTTCGCCACCCAGCTATCTACCTGCCTAATCATCGAATTACCTCTGAGAGGTTGGCTTCAGGCCACCATACTGGAGAGGGGGCTGGATTTCACCTGAAGTGCTGGTGGCGACCAGAAGGGGGGAGCAAAACAGTAGCTCATCTTGTCCTCGACGTGACAAAGACCACAACAAATATGAATAAATGATTCAGACAGGGCACTTGGACAAATTTATGCTTCTTATATCCATCTTTGATCATGCCTGTCCTGACTTGTAAAATGCAGCTTTGGAAAGGTGGCTGCTTTGGTGGAGTCAGTTTGGTATAGTGTTTAAGAGCGGCAGACTCTAATCTGGAGAACCGGGTTTGTTTCCCCACTCCTCCACATGCAGCCTCCTGGGTGATCTTGGGTCAGTCACAGCTCTCTCAGAGCTGTTCTCTCAGGCTCTCTCAGCCCCACCTATCTCACAGGCTATGTTCCCTCTAAGCTGTAGAGTCTTGTGAGCCAAAATTCTACTTTGTGAGTTACTGGCATTAAAGTTGTGAGCAAGCGACTTGCCTACTGCATGAATCAGTGTGCTCTGGAGCTATCCTTCCTAAGACAAAAATGTGTGAGCCAGAGGCTAAAAAACTGTGAGCTAGCTCACACCAACTCAGCTTAGAGGGAACACTGCACAGGGTGTCTGTTGTGGAGAGAAGATGGGAAGGTGATTGTAAGCCGCTCCGAGATTCCTTCAGGTAGTGAAGGGTGAGGTATAAAACCAACTCTTCTTCTTTAAATAGTTCAGCCTGGCTACAGATGTTTCCTTGTTGTGATTCATGGAGAGAGCAGCGGCGCCGCGACGGGCGGTTTCTTAGGAGCTCCTGAGCTGCCGAACTCTTTGGCGTTCTTTTGAAGCTCCCCGGTTTCTGGGAGGGCTTCGCTGGGTCTCTCAGAGGGAGACCAAGTGGCAGGAGGCTTTTCCGGCCCCCCTTGTTCATGGCAAGGACAGGGGAGAAGCCGGCGTGCCTCGAAGCGGGAGCATCGGAGATACAAAGACATGGTCGCCATGTTTCTGAGTAGCGGCAGCCAGCCTTTTAACCAAAACTTTTGAATGAATTGACACATCACGTTGAAGAGTATTCTTTTTTGCATAGCCCGGCTGAATGTAATTGGATGAATGGACTATTGTACCCCCTGTGGATACCCCCTGCAGATGGGAAAAACGGCTGTAAAAATTCACTGACGGGCTGAGAGTGACAAGATGCGAGGGGGGTAAGAGACGACTACTATTTCTGCTGAAAGTAACGTTATTCCATTCTTTTTTCTCGAGCTATGTTTATAGCAAATTTAAAATACTGGAAATATATTTAAATGTGCTTAACTGAATAGCTACGTTTACTGGAGTGTTGGAGTAAATTAAAAAAAATGGAAGCAGTGGATGTTAACGAAGAGATAGACGAAGATACAAAAGTATGTGACCTTACATGGGAACAATTCCAGCGAATCTTGATGGAAGAAATGAGGCAAGCATTTAAAGTGGCATGTGAGAATTTGTTGAAAAATCCTCAGAGTATAGCTTTGGAGGTGAAAGATAATAAAGAGCAAACACAAGAATCACAAAGTTGGGAGAAGAGCAGGAAGTGGATCAAGAGAGAGATACACAAGTTACCTAAACTTTATGTATAGAAGAGGAGACACAGGAGATGGATACCCCTATGTGCGTGTTGGAGAATCAAAGAAAATTTAAGCCAGGAGCAGGAAAAAAGTGTCTACCAAAACCTCCTCAGGGGAAAAAGAAGAAGCCAACAAGAGGGGGAAAATCAGAGAAAGGTGTAAAGAAGCGTAAAGGTTCCAAACAATTAAATTGCAATGTAAGGGAACATGGGACAGGAAATTTGGAAAGTAATTTACAGGAGTACAAAAACCTGCGACATTTAGAAGAAAATGGAAGAAACCAAGATAAAAAGGAAATGGAATACTGTATCATTGTAATGATTGAACTACCAGTTGTAATTTTTTTCTTTCTTTCTCTTTTCTTGCTTATTGATGTTTAAAATCCTAAAAGATGGTTTTAATGTAAGGATAGAGTGTGAATGTAAAATATGTTTTTTTGGCTTTATTATAAGGTAAGGGAAAGGGAAATTTGGGGCCGATACTAGAAGCACTATTATGATTTATACTGTCTAAGATTAGTGTGTTAGTTACTCTGTTATATAAATTAATTTGATTAGGGAAGGTATGTCGGGGAATAGATTGATTGAGGTAATGTAAGGATAATATTATGATTAAATTGTTTAAGATTAGTGTGTACAAGTGGAGACCCGCAAGAAACTTGCGGAATGGTTATCCTATTCCTCACACCTTTGCTTCCTCCTGTCTCCCTCTACCTCTCTCACACT